TGGAGGAAGCCTGCCTTAGTAGAATCAGGATTGGCGGTCTTCTCCATGATTATAAATAAAACTGAATGCATGCAAAAAATAAGAATTATGAGTGATTTTTTTAATCATAGAATCATAGAATCATAGAATCATAGAGTTGGAAGAGACCACAAGGGCCATCGAGTCCAACCCCCTGCCAAGCAGGAAACACCATCAGAGCACTCCTGACATATGGTTGTCAAGCCTCTGCTTAAAGACCTCCAAAGAAGGAGACTCCACCACACTCCTTGGCAGCAAATTCCACTGTCGAACAGCTCTTACTGTCAGGAAGTTCTTCCTAATGTTTAGGTGGAATCTTCTTTCTTGTAGTTTGGATCCATTGCTCCGTGTCCGCTTCTCTGGAGCAGCAGAAAACAACCTTTCTCCCTCCTCTATGTGACATCCTTTTATATATTTGAACATGGCTATCATATCACCCCTTAACCTCCTCTTCTTCAGGCTAAACATGCCCAGCTCCCTTAGCCGTTCCTCATAAGGCATCCTTTCCAGGCCTTTGACCATTTTGGTTGCCCTCCTCTGGACACGTTCCAGTTTGTCAATGTCCTTCTTGAACTGTGGTGCCCAGAACTGGACACAGTACTCCAGGTGAGGTCTGACCAGAGCAGAATACAGTGGCACTATTACTTCCCTTGATCTAGATGCTATACTCCTATTGATGCAGCCCAGAATTGCATTGGCTTTTTAGCTGCCGCGTCACACTGTTGGCTCATGTCAAGTTTGTGGTCAACCAAGACTCCTAGATCCTTTTCACATGTACTGCTCTCAAGCCAGGTGTCCCCATCTTGTATTTGTGCCTCTCATTTTTTTGCCCAAGTGCAATACTTTACATTTCTCCCTGTTAAAATTCATCTTGTTTGTTTTGGCCCAGTTCTCTAATCTGTCAAGGTCGTTTTGAAGTATGATCCTGTCCTCTGGGGTGTTAGCCACCCCTCCCAATTTGGTGTCATCTGCAAATTTGATCAGGATGCCCTTGAGTCCTTCATCCAAGTCGTTGATAAAGATGTTGAATAAGACCGGGCCCAAGACAGAACCCTGTGGCACCCCACTAGTCACTCTTCTCCAGGATGAAGAGGAACCATTGATGAGCACCCTTTGGGTTCGGTCAGTCAGCCAGTTACAAATCCACTGAGTGGTAGCATAGTCAAGACCACATTTTACCAGCTTCTTTACAAGAATATCATGAGGCACCTTGTCAAATGCCTTGCTGAAATCAAGGTAGGCTACATCCACTGCGTTCCCTTCATCTACCAGGCTTGTAATTCTGTCAGAAAACGAGATCAGGTTAGTCTGACATGACTTATTTTTCAGAAATCCATGCTGACTATTGGTGATCACAGCATTCCTTTCTAGGTGCTCACAGACTGTTTGCTTAATCATCTGCTCCAGAATCTTCCCTGGTATTGATGTCAGACTGACTGGGCGGTAATTATTTGGGTCCTCTCTTTTCCCCTTTTTGAAAATAGGGACAACATTTGCCCTCCTCCAGTCTGCCGGGACTTCGCCCGTTCTCCAGGAATTCTCAAAGATGACTGCCAGTGGTTCTGAGATCACATCTGCCAGTTCTTTTAATACTCTTGGATGCAGTTCATCTGGCCCTGGAGACTTGAATACATCTAAACTAGCCAAGTATTCTTGTACTATCTCCTTAGTTATTCTGGGCTCTGTTTCCTTTGCTGAATCATTTGCTCCAAATTCTTCAGGTCGGGCATTGTTTTCTTTATCGGAGAAGACTGAGGCAAAGAAGGCATTGAGGAGTTCAGCCCTTTCTGTGTCCCCTGTTTGCATTTCACCATCTTCTCCTCTGAGTGACCCCACTGTTTCTTTGTTCTTCCTCTTGCTACTGACATACCCATAAAAGCGTTGTTTGTTGCTTTCAACCTCTCTAGCAAGCCTGAGTTCATTCTGTGCTTTAGGTTTTCTGACTTTGTGTCTACACGTGCTGGCTATTTGTTTGAATTCCTCTTTGGTGGTTTCCCCCCTTTTCCATTTTTTGTACACATCCTTTTTAAATCTTAACTCAGTTAAAAGTTCTTTAGATAGCCGCCCTGGCTTCTTTAGGCACCTTCCATGTTTCTGTCTCATTGGTATTGCCTGACGTTGTGCTTTTAGTATCTCCCTCTTAACAAACTCCCAGCCATCATGAACTCCCTTTCCTTTTAGTATTACTGTCCATGGGATCTCACCCAGCACTTCCCTAAGTTTTATGAAGTCAGCTTTCTTAAAGTCAAGAAATTGAGTCCTAGTATGCTTGGCTGCTCCTTTCTGCTGTATAGTAAACTTCAGAAGAGCATGATCACTCGCGCCTAATGATCCTTCCACTTCTACCCCACTAACCAGGTCATCAACATTGGTTAGGACCAGATCTAAAATGGCTGTTCCTCTTGTTGCTTCTCCCACTTTCTGGACAATGAAGTTGTCTGCAAGGCCAGTGAGGAATCTGTTTGACCTTATGCTCTTGGCTGAGTTTGACATCCAACAAATATCCGGGTAATTGAAGTCCCCCATTACTACTATCTCCCTTCCTTTTGCATGCTTGGCCATCTGTTCCAGGAAGGCATCATCTATGTCCTCCGTTTGGCTTGGGGATCTATAGTAAACTCCCACAATGAGGTCACTGTTATTCTTTGACCCAAATGCTCTCACTTTGGCTTTGATGTGGTTATACAATGTGTGGTTATACAATGTCCTCCGTAGCACTTCTTGTATTGATGTATAGCAAACAGAAAAAATAGTACAATGCCACAGTATAAATATCTCAATCAAGGGTGCTATACAGGAAGGATAAAGAACCTGTGGTTTTCTTGGTGTTGTTGGACTCCAACTCCCATAATCCATGACCATTGACCATGCTGATGGGGCAGCTCCAAGTTGAAGTCCATCAACATCTGATATCCACAGGTTCCCCATTCCTGGTTTGCAGGATGTCCAATACACAAATTCCTATTCCTTTCCCTGTACAAAACTTGATTTTCAATTTCAATCCAATTGTTTCTTTCTTTTTCTATCTTCATTTTTTGTTTTTCCCTTCCTAAAACACATGAAATTTGAACAAAATGGCAGAGAAGTTGAAAATCTTCCAACCGTAAACTTTTTAAGCACATGTCTATACTCAAAATATACTGGTGGGGTCATTATAGAATCTGACAGAATCCCACTGAAACAGAGTGTTTCAGAATGAAATTAGTGTGCCAATTCAGCTCGGAATCCCCAATCAAATGGTGAGGAATGAAGTAGTGTACCCACATTATGTGAATTGGCCCAAAGGACCATCTTCAGGGATTTCCTTTAATAATGCAACATCCCCATGTTATTTCATTCTAAGTTCATTTTGTTTGCCTGAACTCTCACTGGAGTTCATAACTAATAATTGGCAATCTCTCTGAAACCACTGCTAATAAATTATTACAAGGCCACCTATTTTCCCCAAGAATAAATAACAGTCAAGGGGAGACTTCGTCTTGTTGATGAAACAAGAAATGTGAAACCATCAGATGCAGAAATTACACAAGGAACTAAGAAAATGTAGGCCAAATATCATGAATATTGGAAAAGAATGGAAAAGGCACAGCTTTCTTCCAGGACCAACGAATAATAGAAATTGGACCTTCCGTAAACTTCAATTCCTCATTCATCTGGGATAGAGGTACTTAACACATTCTTTTGTTCACACTCCATGTAAAAATATCTATGAATATTATGTGATATCATCACATATTAGAAAATATTAGGAACAATTGTGTTCTTCTAATACCAAATACTGGTGGCCCTGTACTTATCAGTTTCAAAAGAAGGTCACAGTAAACAGAAGCCGATGCTTTCATACTTCTACGAGCTACCATACAGGCACACATATATTAGTGTCTAAGTCAAAAGGGGGGAAGGTTTAAATAATAACCCAACAAGGACCTATGCTCAGTTTCTAAGATGTCTGGAATACTGAGAGTGTTATTGGGAGGTGGAACGGGGCAATTGGTCTGCTTGAGCACAAACATAGTATCATGGCTTAGAGTTGGGGTGGGTAGTTCACAATGAAGTTATAGGCCATACATAGCTCACTATACAGGGTTCTTTCTGGAAGGAGGAAAAGGAACATTGATTTCCTCTTCCAGTATTCAAAAACTTCTCCCTTTGTTATACAACAATAAATCTTTTAAACTTTCATGTTTCCAAAGAGAGAGTACTGGAAACTTGTGGTCTCTGTAATGTCTGTTTAGTTTATATATGCCAGAGTTGTGGAACCTGTGGGCCTCCAGATCATGTTGTACTCCAACTCCCATCATTCCAAGTCAGCATGGCAAAGCATCAGGGAAGAGGGGAGTAGCAGCACCTGAAGGGCCGTAGGTTTCCCAGCTCTGATATATACAACCAGAGCCAACTCCCTTACCTTTCCTACTCACCTGGAACCTTCATTACATATCTTTATGTGCTAGGTGAAAATATTTCTCTTCTCTCCGATCTTTGGCTAATTAAAACAATCCATGGCCTTTTAAACTGGGGGCGGGGGGCAGGCGGCACTGTTTCGTTTGTTATTATGTTATATATTTTCTTGTTTTATAGTGTAAGGTACCCTATGATCCTCAGGTGAAGGGTCGTATATAAATTAAATTAATTAATTATTTAGTAATGCACTATCTCTCTCAAAATCTCAAATATCAGAGCCTTCAAAAATGAGCCCCTAGTCACCATCAGTGTCGCCAGAGAAAACCACACTAATAGACTCAGTTACAATAATCAAGACTGCCAAATTCCTAGCAATTTATTCAGTTAGATCCAGAATTCCATAAACTAGATTTTGTTCTTGAAATGCTGCCACTAACAGAAGGGAAAGGAATATAATTTTTCTGCTGATTCCTTCTGCAACTCTTGTATATCTTTGCAAATCCGCTCTGGAGAGGACCGTTGATTATCTGGAACCATTTCCTTTAGAAATATGCTGGGTCTCTCACATTGATATCATAAAGACTTTTTCTGTTTTTCTCAGATTTACAAATGAGAGTCAACAAGAGCATGGTGAATAGCTTCCTGCTACTGGGATTCTCTGATCTGCCAGGTCTGGAGGGTTTGTTCTTCTCCATTTTCCTAAGCATCTATGTTTTGACCCTGATTGGGAACATCCTCATAATAGCTGTCACACTGGCTAACCAGGCACTCCACAGCCCTATGTATTTCTTTCTCAGAAACTTGTCCTATCTAGAGATCTGCTGCACATCAGTCATTATTCCCAAGATGCTTGAAAACCTCCTATCAAAGGACAAAACTATTTCATTTGTTGGTTGTGCCTTTCAAATGTGTGGCTTCCTCATCACAGGGGCAGCAGAGTGCTTCCTCTTGGCTGCCATGGCATATGACCGCTATGTTGCCATTTGCCGGCCCCTGCATTACACCCTGATTATGAGCAGTAGAGTGTGTTTTGTGCTGGTTGCAGCTTCGTGGCGAGCTGCCATTCCAGTGCAACTCGGGCAGACTTTCCTGGTGTTCACTTCTTATTTCTGTGACTCCAAAGAAATTAACCACTTCTTCTGTGACTTCCCTGCTGTGGTCAAACTTGTATGTGGAGATACATCTATAAATGAGAAGATGGCTCTGGTAGCTTTACTTGGACTAATACCCTTTGCATTGATCTTCATGTCATACATGTGCATTGCCTCCACCATTTTCAAGATGTCATCTGTGGAAGGGAGGCAAAAGGCCTTCTCAACATGCTCCTCACATCTCATGGTAGTGATGTTGTTTTATGGCTCTGGAATAACTGTGTATTTGAAACCTAAAAGCCATTTCCATGACACAGACAAAAGCCTTTCACTCTTGTACACTGTCCTGCCACCTTTGTTAAATCCTCTTATTTACAGTTTGAGGAACAAGGAAGTCAGAGTTGCTCTCAGAAGTGTATTTTCCACTCATCCCTAACTCATATGAAATATGAAAGTGTATACAAAAAAAGTGAAAATATTAAGCTGTAAATACTGGTTAAACATCCTGTTCTGTAAGCCCTGTTCTGTCGGTACGTTTATGTGTGATGTTTGATTATGTTTCTATGATGAGGATATACAGAAGCAGTCATCCAATTTTCATAGATATTTCTGAACACAAATGTCAGAAAGGTAAAAAAAGGTAAAGGACCCCTGGACAGTTAAGTCCAGTCAAAGTCTGGGGTGCAGCGCTCATCTTGCTTTCAGGGAGCTGTCATTTTCCACAGACAGCTTTCCAGGTCATGTGGCCAGCATGACTAAACCACTTCTGGCACAACAGAACACCGTGACAGAAACCAGAGTGCATGGAAACGCCATAATTACCCTAATGACCTAAGATCATCAAAAGTGCCCTGCTAATTTAGACCAACATCCATCTAGTCAAGCATCCCATTTCTTATAGTGGAGAGCTAGATGCATCTGGGAAGCCCATAATCAGGCACAAATACCAACTTTCTCTCACACTCTTACTCCCTAGCAACTAGTACTCAGTGGCATATTGCTACCACAGTTGGATGTTTCATATAGTCATGACTAGTGACTATGTTTAGACCTAATCTTCATGAATTTATGCAAAAGATCCCTGGTATTAACTATTCTTTTCTAGTGGAACTATAGGGTATTATATGGAATAGTTTAATATTACAATTTAGATCTGATAAATTTTAGAATCGGTGTTAGTTATGCCCTCCAACTTCCTTCAGGCATATCAATATGGCCAATGGTTAGGGATGATGGGAGATGGAGTCAAGCAACATATTGATGGCATAGACCACAGGTTACTCACTCCTGAGTTATAGAGTGGTGTGTAAGAAAGCATGGTCAACTCCATCATAGACACCAGCCTCTCTTTCTCAGTGAATCCCATCATCCATTGCCAAATATTTAAAAACATACAAAATAATCACGTGAAATAACAAAATGACTCAAAAAAATGTATACAGTGGTACCTTGGTTGTCAAACTTGATCCGTTCCAGGAGTCCATTGGATTCCTGAAACTGTTCAAAAAGCAAGGCATGGCTTCTGATTGGCTGCAGGAGCTTCCTGCACTGAAGCGGAAGCCACGTTGGACATTCAGCTTCCAAAAAACGTTTGTGAACTGGAAGACTTACTTCCAGGTTTGTGATGTTCAGGAGCCAATTTGTTCGGGAGCCAAGCCATTCGAGTACCAAGGTACCACTGTAATTAGCAAGCAACTAACATAACATCCAAAAATAAACCACTTGTATTTGGGAAAATGGAGTGTGTGTGGCATGAGAGATGAACCCAAGGAACAAAAAATATGACTCCCTGGCAACTTGCAGTTCATAACTAATGTTCAATATTCTTGCTTCAACAAATAGCCAAAATCTCTTGAGACATTCATCTCCAATTCTTGATGATAAATTTCAACCAAAGGGAGCCTTCTGTGATCTGAAACAAGCCCAGAAGGACAGGAAGACTATTACAGAGGTCATAAGACTTCAAAATATTAAGTAAGTCTAAACCTCAATAAATAAGTCAAGGAGGCATGCTATTCAGTGTGAGCCTGCAAGTGCACAGACCCACTGCAAATGCCAGTTCTCCATTTACTTGTGGTTGAGGTATTGTATCTTGCACACTATACATTTGTGGTTATTTTTTAGAATGCTCAAAAACATAAATAATAATATATGTATACTGCATTTTCTTTAAAATAAAAAAACAATTTTGATTGAAGTTTAGCATTAATGCACATAAAAATACACACATGTGCCTATATAAAAATATATGTATATGGATTTTTTAAAAGTTAAAGGACCTGGGTTTAACTTCTGCTTCATATAATTAATAGATATGTCTACCACCAACATACAACGCCTCCTTTATTACAATTTAGTCACCCACCGTAATGTTTCAGAGAGAGAGAGAGGTGAGATGGGCACCAGGGCAGTATATTAGATCAGAATAAAAAAAGAAAGAAATCATAAACAGAGCAAGTAGGCAAGTGTGATAAATATTCTGTTGAATTAAAATAGCTACTTAGCTTATTTTACTTGTGGCGTCTGGAGGTGAAGCATAAGCAACTCAGAAAGTACCTTCAACCCTTATCTTAAACTAAAAGTCCTTTCCTCCCATCCTAGAATTACTGCACTCTTCTCTGCTGTTAAAGTGAAACAGCAATTGAATGTTTTATTTCCAATCATATTTCTTCTTGTAAAAAGTTTGGTGTTAAAAATCCGATGAATTTGTAAGCCAAAACCATATATTTAATTTCTTACAGTCTGCTATGTTTATTTTGAAATAAATATACTATGTGGCGCATTTGATATCATCCTTTTTTAAAAAAAAATATCACATTTAAATAAACAAAGAAAATAATTTATTTTTCAAACATAATTTCTTATCTAGGCTTATATAACCACAATTAAAATTCTAATAAGAAACAAAGCACCATCATTAATAGTAAACTGAGACCCAGTTCTTCTTTAGACTGTGTGCATCTCTGCCAAATCAATACATTTTAGTAATCATTCTCAAACTAAAGGAAATTGGGAATCCTCCACCGCCAATATTCCTCCAACCAATATTGGGCCTTATTTCTTATGAGAATAAGGAATTGTAGAGCATACGTTACACAATGACATTAAACTGTGTGTGACAGAGTGTTTAAGGTGAATTTATACTGTGCCATTTGTGAATTTATACCTTCATAGAAGTCTTAATTGAATTTTACCTTCTCAATGTTTTTCAGGATATGAGATAATTTCACAACATGCCTATTATGAAAAAGGCCACGTAGTGTAACCAAACGAGCAAATACAGAATTTACTCCTTGAAGAACTCTGACATCCGAAGTTCTTTCTGTTGCTAACATTTATTTTTATTTTTATTTTTATAAAGTATTTATTGAAGTTTAGACATTGCAAAAAAAGAGAAAAAAACAAAACAAAACAAAATAAAGATATGAGCAATAAACAATTACAAAGCCTCAAAAGCAAAAATAAATACAGTAGTACAAAACATCAACAATACAAAAAGAAAAAAACACACGAAAACAAAAGCATTTAAAAAAAAGGAAAGACCCAAAAGAGAACAAACATACAAAAGAACCACATATTTTCATATCCTTATCTTTCATTTGCTTATTTCCTCGACTTCCTCACACCTCCTTTTTTGTATTCTAGTTCAGTTAAATATTCCAGCAAGTCCTTTCCCTCTTTCACAAATTTAGTTCCATGATTTAACTTAGCGCAATTTTAGACTTAAATTTACATCTTTACCCAATGTCAATCTATTCATACTTGATTCTTTATAATATTTCTACTAAAGTCATATAATTTCTTTCCAGCATCTTTCTAACATTCATTAATTTATTTTTAAAAGGGGGAAAGTGCCCAGGGGCAGGGGAGGAAACAAATTCTGCATATTAACTCTGATTGCCAACATCTTGATAGTCACCGTTCAGCAAAGCGTGTTCTCCATAATAGAGAGCACGTGTTGTGGTGGGGGCCAAAAAGGCCACCCCACTGTTGTTGGGCAAATTGGCCACATGCTGTGATTGGGCAAGGAGTGTTGCTGGGGGGAATGTTATGTTGCTAAAGTGTGGGAGGGGTCAGAGGTCTTAAATACAGGGCTCGCAGCCTGGGGCCTTCTCTTGGGCTGCGTGCACCGGATCACCCGCCCACCCTCCCTGAAAAGGGGGGGATTCGTTGTCCTCTGACCTTACTATGCCTGTCATGGGGTTGTCTGCCTTGGGGCCTGGTAGGAATTTTGTCTGATTGGCTGTTGCCATTTGGTTTTTGCCTACTGCGTAGCAAATCATCACAACTTGTACGGTTGGCGGTTAGGCAATGGTTAAAATTGGTTGGTGGAGGGGTAAGTGCCTACCCCTCCAATGGTGGTGCGGAAAGGGAATTCTGTTAAAGGAATCCAGGGACTTGCCATTCTTTTTGTCTTTGACCCTGGCATCGGACTTGGGCCGTGCAAGCCACCAGGAGCATGAGGGTGAGAAGTGAGGGACTGAGGCCCAGCTTCATTTTCTCCCCAAAAATTGTTTCCCTCACTGGCTTCCACTGGAATCCGGAAGTCAGTGCTGTCCCCCTGACTGGCTTCCGCTGGAATCCGGAAGTCAGTTCTGTCCCTGGGGCAAGGGCTTCTGCTGGCATCCGGAAGTCAGTTCTGTCCCTGGGGCAAGGACAGATAGTCGTAACCAATGCCTAAGCAACCACTCACATGTGTGTATTTAAATAAAGTTGTGGCCAAATTCATGCCAAAAACCTTAAACAAAAATTGATGTGTGAAGTGTGAGTTATTGGGGTGGCCTGGGGGACCTCAACGCGCAACTGCAAACTTCACAGATGGGCTTCTATCTGGGGGATTTGTGCAACGAGGGCTCCTGAAGTTCATGCCCCTATAGAAGCACTTCATAGCTCATGTTCAACTATCACTTTAGTACCGTATATATGTTAGATAGAGAACACAATGCAGAGAAACCAGTCTGAAATCACTGAGTTTATCCTTCTGGGATTTGGGGAACTTCATCATCTTAAATTCTTCCTGATTTTGGCATTTTTACTGATCTACATTTTGACCATGGCCTCCAATTTCCTCACCATTCTTCTAATACTGACTGATCAGCACTTGCACACACCCATGTATTTTTTCCTGGGGGATTTGTCCTGCTTGGAGATGATGGACAGTTCAACTATTCTGCCCAAGATGCTATCTGCTCTTGTGACACAGGCCAAAGCTATTTCCATTAAGGGTTGCTTCACACAGTTTTATTTTGGCTCCTTTTTGGTTTGTACAGAATGCTATCTCCTCTCTGTGATGTCTTATGATCATTTCTTAGCAAAATGCAAGCCTCTACATTATGCAACACTGATGAATGGTAAGGTCTGTGTCCAGTTAGCAGGGAGCTCTTGGATCAGTAGCATGGCAGTCATCTCTATATATTTGGGCTTGATGTTACAACTACGGTACTGCGGATACAATGAAATAGATCATTTCTTTTGTGAAGCTCTGCCATTGGTAAAACTATCCTGCAGGGATACATTTCTTGTGAAACTTGTCACCTTTGCTGTGACATTTATAATCACATTCCCTCCCTTTGTTTCAACCTTGGTCTCTTATATTTATATTATTGCTGCCATCCTGAGGATCCCTTCCACCACTGGGAGACAAAAGGCTTTTTCCACCTGCTCTTCCCTGCTGATTGTTGTCTCTATATTCTATGGGGCCATCTTTATCGTCTATCTGATACCAAAAACTGACAGAGTGAGATATTTCAATAAAATATTTTCTCTTTTGTACACAGTCCTGCCCCCTTTACTTAACCCCCTCATATATAGCCTGAGGAATAAAGATGTAAATGATGCAATGAGAAAGGCTGCTGGGAAGATTTTGAAAGTGAAATGCATGCATCAAAAATTCAAAATTTAATAGAACTCTTTTCTTATAAATAAAACTGAATGGATGTTTGGGGAAATTACCATCTATTTAGGCTACAATTCTAACCATATCTACACAGAACTAAGTCCTTATGAATTTTGAGTAGGCATAGTTAGGATTCCACTTAATTATGTAAACACTTCCCCATAGAACCATTATATATATATCCTAATTCAAGAAATCAGGAGACAAGGCATGTAAATTGAAAACATTCCACCCTATTTTGCTTAGAGGTATAAGGCTGTTATGTTGTTGTACTGTATATCAGGATATAGATATATACTGTACAAACTTTGATGTCATATAGCAGTTGTGTGCTTAGCATTGCACACCCCTGGTTCCCTTTGGAATAATAGAAATGAGTGATCACTGGAAATTACTTTTAGCATCATTAAAAGCAAATTCTGTGACCCAGCCAGCCTTATAATGAAATTAAATGCCTACATATTTAAACCACTTAACTTGCTCAATGATGTTTCCACTTATCACTCACTTATGCACGCTCCATGACTTTGCAAAGACCATGATTGTTGACTTCTAGAATTTAGTGTGCATCCGCAATACTCCAAAAAGTGTAGCAATAGGCGGTTTAATCCTATCTGCGAGTGTGGAAGTACCACCACATCGTCCAAATATAAAAGTTGCAGAACATGTCTTGTGATGGGTGTTCACTTAAAATGAAGTATCATTTCCCAAAAAATGGTGATTGACTAATGGAGATCTGTAATGAAACATAATAATAATATAATAATAATAATTTATTATTTATACCCTGCCCATCTGGCTGGGTTTCCCCAGCCACTCTGGGCGGCTTCCAAAAGAATATTAAAATACTGTGATACATCAAACATTAAAAGCTTCCCTAAACAGGGCTGCCTTCAGATGTCTTCTAAAAGTCTGGTAGTTGTTGTTCTCTTTGACATCTGGTGGGAGGGTGTTCCACAGGGAGGGCACCACTACCGAGAAGGCCCTCTGCCTAGTTCCCTGTAACTTGGCTTCTTGCAGTGAGGGAACTGCCAGAAGGCCCTTGGTGCTGGACCTCAGTGTCTGGGTAGAACGATGGGGGTGGAGACACTCCTTCAGGTATACTGGACCGAGGCCGTTTAGGGCTTTAAAGGTCAGCGCCAACACTTTGAATTGTGCTCGGAAACGTACTGGGAGCCAATGTAGGTCTTTCAAGACCGGTGTTATATGGTCTCGGCGGCCACTCCCAGTCACCAGTCTGGCTGCTGCGTTCTGGATTAGTTGTAGTTTCCGAGTCACCTTCAAAGGTAGCCCCACGTAGAGCGCATTGCAGTAGTCCAAGCGGGAGATAACCAGAGCATGCACCACTCTGGCGAGGCAGTCCGCAGGCAGATAGGGTCTCAGCCTGCGTACCAGATGGAGCTGGTACACAGCTGCCCTGGACACAGATTTAACCTGTGCCTCCATGGACAGCTGTGAGTCCAAAATGACTCCCAGGCTGCGCACCTGGTCCTTCAGAGGCATAGTTACCCCATTCAGGACCAGGGAATTCTCCACACCTGCCTGCCTCCTGTCCCCCAGAAACAGTACTTCTGTCTTGTCAGGATTCAATATCAATCTGTTAGCCGCCATCCATTCTCCAACCGCCTCCAGACACTCACACAGGACCGTCACCGCCTTCACTGGTTCTGATTTGAAAGAGAGGTAGAGCTGGGTATCATCCGCATACTGATGAAGACCCAGCCCAAACTCCCTGATGATCTCTCCCAGCGGCTGCATGTAGATGTTGAACAGCATGGGGGAGAGGACAGAACCCTGAGGCACCCCACAAGTGAGAGCCCAGGGGTCTGAACACTCATCCCCCACCACCACTTTCTGAACACGGCCCAGGAGAAAGGAGCGGAACCACTGTATGACAGTGCCCCCAGCTCCCAGCCCCTCAAGACGGTCCAGAAGGATGTTATGGTCGATGGTATCAAACGCCGCTGAGAGATCCAGCAGAACTAGGAAACAGCTCTCACCTTTGTCCCTAGCCTGCCGGAGATCATCAACCAGTGCGACCAAGGCAGTTTCAGTCCCATGATGAGGCCTGGATCCCGACTGGAAGGGATCCAAATGGTCTGCTTCTTCCAGGCGTGCCTGGAGTTGTTCAGCAACCACTCGCTCAATCACCTTGCCCAAGAATGGAAGATTTGAGACTGGGCGATAGTTGGCCATCGTGGCCGCATCTAAAGATGGCTTTTTAAGAAGCGGTTTAATTCATCACCAGCTATGTTTTTTATGCTCCTTTAATATCTTTAATACAGGAATTGATACACAGAGGTGGAGGTATGTAATTTAAGACAGAGTCTTCTGTTCCCTGATTATTGAGAGTATAATTCAGGGATCTGATATCCACAACAGAATTCTGGACTCAGTGGGCCTTTGGTCTGATCCAGCCGGGCTCTTCTTATTTTCTTCTCCTTCTTCTTATTTATAAACATCCATTGGTCAGAATATTTTTTATGCAATGGTAATCTAGTAACACAATAATGGCAAAACCTACTTCCCCTCGCAACCACATACACACTAAAAGGTTAGCAGTATCACAGAGGCTAGCTTAGTTAGCGAATGTAAAGGTCTTAGCCTGGCACCTAAAAAATGAACATGATGGTATGTATTTCCCTGTGAAGAACATTCTACAGCCATTCCAAGCTCTTCCTTCTGGAGTTAGAAAGGGGAAGAAGTTTTAGCTGGACTGAAGTTACAGCAGCTAGTCCATTTATGTGAAGAGTGTTGTGGTATGTGGCATTATAAATCTCCATTTGGAACAAAACCACCATCAAAGTAGTGGGAAGGAGAATATATATATATAATTTCACATGGGGGTTCTATTCCCACCCCATATCAGCAGAGCACGTATATGCATGCCCCACTCCGTTCCATCCACCCTCATTCTACCCTCTTCTGAGTACAAAAGGACCCGCACGTCAACACGCATTAATTCAATTCACAGAGATTCAATTGAATCTGATCACTAGGACTTTGTGCCAGATTGACCCAAAGCCTGAATCTTGAACTGAATCAGATCAATTTTGAGAGATCCAGGCTTGGACCAAGTCAGGTCTGTTCTCAGTCAGGTGGCAGTAGATGAGAATCAGCATCTCCTTCTTCCATGTCCCTCCTGACTGTATGTTTAGTCAGGGGTTTAAAAAAGCCTAATTATACATTAGCTCTGCCCCCCAAAAAACTGATTTGGATGAGATTTGGGTGTGGCAAGTTGTGCCCAGATCAGGTTACAGGTGCAGGGCAGTATTGATCAACTTCCTCCCTGGTCTTCCTATTCCTCCCCCCACTAATCTTTAACACTAAACAAGTTAGCTAGCACATTTTGAAATATTTTGAAATTTGCTATCCTATTTTTTGCCTTTCTGAAGGCCCTCTTCACCTCTTTATTCCTCAGGCTATATATGAGGGGGTTTACTAGAGGAGGAAGAATTGTATACAAAAGAGAAAAGGCCTTGTTAATTGAAGAGGACTTTGGTAAGAGATACACAGCTGTTAAAGAGCCATAGTAAGTTGAAACAACAATGAGGTGAGAGGAACATGTGGAGAAGGCCTTTTGCCTTCCAGTGGTCGATGAGATTCTTAAGATTGCCCTTATAATGTATATGTAGGATGCTAGAGTCAGTAGAAATGGGGGCATAGTGTATATAAACAGCAAAGTTAAATTGACATGCTCTACCAAATTTGTGTCACTGCATGAAAGTTTTTTAAGTGGCACGGAATCACAGAAGTAATGATCGATTTCATTGGGGCCACAGTATGTAAGCTGCAGCATAGCAGCCATGATTATGGAAATGCCTATGACACCATTTGTCCAGGACACGGCTGCTAATTGGACACACTTCCTGGTGTTCATAGCGGTTGCATAATGCAGTGGCTTACATATTGCTAAATACCTGTCATAGGACATCACAGAAAGCAAGTAACATTCTGCACCCAAACAGTAGCCAAAGAAAAATAACTGCAGGAAGCAGCTCTCAAATGAAATGACCTTTCCATCCCACAAGAGAGTGGTAAGCAATACAGGTATGAGTGTTGAGCTGTAGCAGATCTCTAAACAAGATAGGTTTCCAAGGAAAAAGTACATGGGGGTGTGAAGGTGTTGATCACTGACTACAAGCACAAGAATGAGAAGATTCCCTGCCATGGTGACAATGTAGATTGCAAGGAACCCCAGAAACAGAAGGACCTGCAGATTCTTCAGCTCTCGGAATCCCAGAAGGATAAACTGAGTGACATGAGTTTGATTTTCTCTTACAGGCACTTCCATTCATTTCGTTTCCTTTGCCTTATGATTCCATTCATAAAGAGGATTTGGGCGCTACAGTAGAATAAAGCAATCAACACTGTTACTCTATTACAAATAGCCAAGTTTTCAGAAATTCAGCACATTTGCAATGTAATTCATTTGCTGCACGCTCCTTGCCAGCCCCGCATTTCCACATCACTACAGTTTCAAAACTATTTTTATTGACAATTCTGAAAACCTGACCTCACCTTCAGAAGCAGTTTGGTTAGCAGGAATCAATAGGTGAACCTTTTTGAGACATTAAGATAACCATTATCACCTGCTTATGTTTCTGCAAGAAGTGGGTGTTAAAGGCAGCATCTTGGCAAATGTTTAAAAACTTAACACCCCAAGCCATAGCTTGAATAAAAATAGAGTTGAAATCAGGAATTCATTTAAGTTAATAACAAATGTAATGTAGAGCTCCTTTAGTAAATTAATAATAAATGTTATTGATGCATTTAAGGTTTTTTTAATGCACTGATGTAAAATATGCAATTCAATTTGCTTACCATCTGAAAAAAGATTATTTGGTCTCAGTGGCATTGTCTAGAATTATTTATGAATCTTTATCTCCATTCAGTTCTCCCACATGAGCAAGTCCTCTCTTTTATATTATTTCACTTGTACATGCAATCACCATCAGCAGCAACTCTGACAGAATACAATAAGTTTTAAGGAGTAAACAAAAACTGGACACCTGGACTTAGTCCCCACAAATTAAGTCAGGAGTTATAGTGCTGACTGGTTATTTCTTTGCAAACAATGAAGATATGCTGCATGATTCCACAGGTGGTTGGTGATATCACCCTCCCCATATAGAAGGAATCTTCATGCCTAATGTTTGAGAAACAATTTTAATGACTGATAAGAAGACTCACACATATTATCTCTAATTCTTCACCCATTGCACATTATCTCATGAATACTTTATGTGTTGGATGAAAATGGTCTTCCAGACCCACAAGTACTCAAAAAGTAGGGAAAGATGAAATAAGATAACCTGCACTAAGTTAATAATGAATGTCAAATGTCAAAAAACAAAACATGCTTCCTACAAAGTGTCAGTTGCAATGCCATTCTTTACATATCTGTGGAGAAGTAATCTCCATAATTTTTAGTAGGGTAAGTGAGTATATAATTTGGAGCTGCAATCTATCAAAGAACAGGTTGCCTTCATTTTGGCTATAAAAGTAGTCATAGTCTTTCTGAAAGAGCAAACAAATATGTATTAACTAGACAATGAGAATACAGAAAGATAATGGGGGCAAAAAGAAGGCAGCTTTCACAATGATAGTCCAGAGTGTTTTGCAGGCTTCCCAACCATCTGGAGGAGTGAGAAGGAAGAGGAGAAGGTAAAGATCTATTCTGTTCTTGCACCATGGGATATAGCTCTATGAATGTGATTTTTGGTGGATGTTGTTAGTTTGTTGCTGTTTTTTTTAAAACAACAACAACAACAAACAAACCTCCTTTCAGATGCACTTGACTGGGACTTGAACAGAACTCTAACCTTCTGTAGCAGAAGTTCATTTTTTAAAAATATATATCTAGTTGCATTTTGTTTGTACCTTTATGTGATGAAAAGCATATCCAGAGCTCCTGTTCAGTTTGATTTTTTAAAAGATCCAGATTCCATTTTAAAAAAATTAATGTTTCCTTATATTTTCATGGATGGTGTGCCTCAGCCCTCTGTCTTCATGAGCTTATTGTATGATGTGTGAAAAATGAAATGGACACCATTTCACCTAGTGTGTTATTTATCCTACAACATGCAAACATGGAATCTGTCTCCAGATATTACTAGATGCCTCAGTTTGTAAATCTTCTAGAAATTATATTTAATTGGACATCTCAGGGGGAAAATTTTGAAATAGCAATACAAAAATAGTTTTAGATAATTTCGATGATCTCATTAGGTGATCTTTAGCTTACTGTTTTGGACAATATTTGGGAGATGCAGTCAAGGTGTTATTTCCAAATCATGAAAATGTTTTGTATAACATTTTGAGGAAGCTAGCTCTATGACCTTTCATTTCCTGCTCTTACCTAGTCGCCTTTCAACCAAGATACAGATCATATTAGCACTTGCTTAGCATCATCTTCTTCAGGGTTAGGGAACACACAAATACAGACGTTGATGGATTCCAGCCCCTGCTACCCAAAAATGATGGGTACTCAAGCATGGAAGAAGTACAGCATTCATCCCTGAAAGCAAATGAAAATAAAGGAACTTGGAGAATTGAGTCTCATCTTAAGCAAAGTCACTAGTCAATATTCAATGACAATCATACAAAATCATTCAATGACAATCATACACAACTCTAGCACAAGTTATTGATATCTGAATTTAGATTTTAGCTGGCATCCTCAGGAACTACAAAAACTGGTGGGTGGGATTGGCCAGAAATTCAAGATACATGAGAGAAGAGTGAAAATAGCTTTGGAAGTCTACAATTCATAGAGATCTGATAAGAAACTGTCATTAATGAGTACCAAATGTTGACTTTCCAGTATTGTTTTTGGACCGTACTAGAGGAAAGCATACTAGAGATGAAGGTGTATGCAAGGTAGAATCTAGACACATATAAAAAACACCATGAAAATGCTTTTTTAAAAAATGTTTTGAAAACAAAATACTGAATTTGCCATAGCTCACCATCGTCATCTAGTGTCACATTTGTTTAATGCACTTTATGACACACTTAATTTTTTTTATTTCCAGCTGCATATTGTGTGCTTAGAGTAATGCATCACTGTCACTTGCTGTGATGCTGAAGGATGCCAGGGTGTTGGAGTTATGTGAGTGCACCAGAAGAGCCAATCTGGAACTCCATCTGGTGCAGCTGTGGAACCCTGACCCTGCCACCTCCCTGCACCACCCTTCATCATCCTCGTAAGAAGCAGGAGCAACACTGTTTGAAAAGTGGCAGCATGGCACTGACCCCTATACAATCACTCCTGGGTGTATTTCATTTCACACTGACCATGTGTCAGATATTATCTGTCATGAATGAGCCAGCACCCAGGGAAAGTTTGCAACCAGCTCCCAGTGAAGGAAGTAGCCAGGAACAGAGTGGGTTAACTGCAAGACAGGATGCTTACAGCTGAGAGCGAACTCCCCCACCCTTAGGAATGTCAACTGCAGAGTTGCAGAGAGTCAGCTGGCAGCTTGCTAGGGCAGTAGTAAAGGACAAAATGCAGGGCTAGAAATGAAAGCAGCTCAGAGAGCGGGAAGGACCACAGAAGTACTGTTTCAGAGAAGGAGGAAGAGGTGGGAGCTAACCCCCTCAGTCCAAGGTCTACATGTATGGGGGTGGGGGCGTCTTCAAGACAGAATACGTCACAAGAGGAAGTTCAGCTGTTTCTGGTCTCACCGGAAACACCCTTCTTAGAAGGGACATCTTTGATTTATGGACAGACGGCTGTGATCACCACTCCGGTGTACTCTGTTTTTGCAATAAATCTTCTTCTTAATTAACTACACTCCTTTGTTATCAAGACTCCCTGACATTATCTCTCTCTATCAGAAATCATCTTTAATTGATACTTTCATTGTTTTATTAAATGTGTAAACTACTTTGAGGGTCTTTTTTATAAACAAATGATGCATAATATTTAATAACTAACTAAATCAATTGAGACTTCCCCTGACTGTTGAGATTCCGTTTGTTTCATTGAATCAATTTGGTTTATATGAATAGAATATCTTCCATTTTGTTATCTTTTAATAAATATAACCTTTCAACCATTTCATATCTTGAGTCTTCTTTCAGGATTTTGGGGACTAATTGTCTCTTATCTTGTACATTATTAGGTTTTTGTGTTCTTTGCAAGATTCTGTTTCACAGATGACTCTGTTCACCTCATAATAAAACCAGGATCCTGGGAGAGCTACATTTTGTCATTATAGAATACATTCCCTTGAGAATAATATTTTTTAAATAGTGTATGAACTTAAAGTAAATGTCCCTAAGAGTCTTGCTGTTCTGGTGGGGCTGAAACAGTAAATTCTGATTTCTTTTGCTTAAAAGCACAGGTTTTGCCATCTTAATATTTGTACAACACAAGATGTGCTACACAGGACATCAAAACTGGTACACATTGTCTGCATGCATAAATCCCCAAATCAAGAGGACAGTGATATTGGATGACTCAAGGAGAAGGAAGAAACTTAGAATGCCTTCTTCTATTCTTAATAAACAGATAACATGGATCAGTAAAATAGTGCTGAGAAATATCATCAAAAGGTAAATGTTTATTACTCTTAATTATGAATGAAGCTATCACTTTCCCAGTCTTACTGGTTCTTCACATTCCTGCATCAGTCTGTGTGCTTTATATATATGTCGTCAAAAACATATATGTCCATTTTAGGGCATTTTTGGTATTAATTTCTGACTGATATACACATTAAAAAGAGCAATTTTTATACGACTGGACTTTAAAATATGGGATGTACCTAAAACATAATAGGCATAATAGGAAATATTCTATTAAGGGGAATGCCTGTGATGAGCATTTGAAATAATGGAGTTTGAAATTTATTTCTGATCTCTGTGCACACGTACAGGAACTGAAGAACTTCACCACTTCACAAGTTATCAATGGTTATTTTATTTTCTACTCCTATTTGTAATATTCATCGTGTTGATCATTGGTCCCAACCACTCCAAAAAAAGAAAACACATCAACAAAGGGATTAAAAGGGCAGGACTGATACCTGAAGAAAACTATAGGTTTTGTTTGTTTGTGTGTTTTTTGTTTGTTTGTTAGGATGTGATACTTATATGTCAATTTAGGATTTAAAAAAAGTTTTCTAAATGTTAGAATTGTAGAGGCATGGATTAATAGTGCAGGAAATAATGTTAGAGAATAGTACCTCATTTCGTTTCCAATTATAATTGGTTTTTTTTTTTGAACGAAATTTTCCTTCAATAAATGATAAAATAAATGTCTGAAT